CTAATCTCAGGGAAACGCGACGTGACGAGGGAACCGGGAGCCAGCCCCGACGCAGGTGACGAAGCTAAGGAGAGAGGGGGGCAAGAGGCAGGGTTAAAAGGATTAGCAGGCGAGGGGGAGGGGACAGGGATTGATGCGGAGCAAAGCAGTGCTGGGGTAGGAGTGGGATGATGGGCGAACGGGATCCAACGGGTCGTCGCGGCGTAGCCGCGAAACGGGGGAGCGCGACACAGAGGGCGTGAGGGTGAGGCCAGGTGAGGCTGGTGGGTGAGGATAGGGCACTCTTTTTTGCGAATGCCCGGATGGGTGGGTGGAACGAGTGGCTGCTGGTCCGCGGTGAAGGTGGTCCATGGCTGTGGCCGCTCCCCCGGTGACCGCCCGTGCCTTCCCCGGCCCCCATTCGCTCTCGCGTTATCCTCCTCCCCTCCTCTGTCTCCGCATCGCCCTCCCCCTCTCTCACTCTCTCTGCCCCTCTTTCTCTATGTGTGTGCATGACTGTGAGTCTTTCACATGTGTTTCTGTACATTTGGTTGGGAAATATCTCTCACATGTTCTTGTGTTGTTCAAGGTTGGAACCTCGGCGACGCATCTTGGTTGTGCATCTGCCCTGCCACTTGCCTGTCATTTTGCTATAGATGCTGGTTTTGCCATTTACTGCACCTCAGCGAGTGAGATAACGAGTCATGTGGTTAGCCAAAACCCTTCTGATGTTTCTAAGCATCTTGTGTGCGTACAAGAAGGAAAATTAGTATTTCCACTGTTTTTTCCACATTTGTTCCTAAAATATAAGTTGCAATATGTGCAGTTTAATTGATTTGTCATTGTCATCAATTGTGTTTAGTTTTCATTTATGTGATTGTACTTAGGCATTTGTCAATTACTAATTCTTCCCTTCTGCTTTAAATATCACCAAGGTCATAATTCATGAATAAAAGTTATGTATATATATATATATATATATATATACATAAAGAAATTCTCTACGTGAATGTTGCGACATAATATTTTGAAGTATAAAAATAAGAAATCAAGAATACCACATCTCACAAATACTTTTAGTATGTAAAATAAATAAATATATATATATATATATATATATATGCTAATGCCTAGATCAACTTATTTATTCTGCAATCTGACTTGATTTATTTATTTTCTTAAGAAAATGCTCTTTGAAAATCTCTCTTGAAATTGGAATATAAACAAAAAAAAAGGTAATCAAAGCACCTAACTAAGGTGTATATAAAATTCCGAAACTAAAGTAGAATTCAGGATTTCAACATATTAAATTATTATATTTACAATGATATTTTGTTTTTAGATTTCAATGAAATTTATAAATATTAAAAAAACAACATAAATAATAATATTAAAAAATTTACGATTAAAATTAAATTCATCTATACAAATATTTTTTTTAATTTTATATTTTAATAAATACATATCAACACATATGTATATATATAATGAACTTAAATGAACTAAATCAATATTACATCACATAATGTTGTGAACTAGGTCTTAGAATACTTGTTAAAAACAATTATATGAAATTGGTCAAAAAAAACTAATGCATAAGTCTTAATTTGTTTTGGAAGATTTAAATATTCTTAAAATATGTGACAAAAAATCCATGTAAAAAATAGTTAATTAAAAAAAAAACAAAAAAAAAAAAACAAAAAAAAACAAAAAAAAACAAAAAAAAACAAAAAAAAATGATTTGACATAAAACACTGAAATTAAATATTGTAGATGCTTAAAAATTAATTTTTTGGGTCTTAAAAATAATAAATAAATAAATAAATAATGATAAGATTTACAGCAACTTTTCCTTTATGAATTTATTATATTTTTAAGATGAAAATAACACGAATTTGTTTTTTTATTATAAAGTATTTATAAAATAAAATAAAATTTATTTATTTATTTATTTATTATATAATAAAAAGAAAAAAATTATACTTGAGATGATGAAATCTATAAATTGATTATAAACTTGGTTTAGATAGATTATTTTTCTAAAATTTGGAGCTTTTCCTTCTAATTGATGTTGTTGTCTAATCAATTTTTTAAAGTTATGCTTTTATAATCAAAATAACAACGACCTAACTAAAATTCCAAACATATAAATTACAAAGTGATTTTTAAATATTACCAAATCTTTAATAGTAATGTTATTTAACTATAAAGAATTAAGGATACATAAACAACATATACATGATTTATTATTAAACAATGATAATAGAATGTGCACTATAAACCTCAAACTCTAAAGGAATTTTGACAGGGCATGTATGGTTTACAAAACACAATAAATAAGTATGTTATTTGTAAGCATAACTTAAGAATAAAATAAAAAGTTGGCCATTTGTAAGTATTCATTTTTTTTAAAAGTATAATTAATTATAAAACCTATTTGATTGTTCTTATATAAATCCTAAAAACTACAGTTCCATATATTATAATGATCCAGATACAACTTAAATATAAAAAAAAGTATTCTAATAAATATTGTCTAAAAAAAAATTAATTACTACAATACTTATTTTTTTTTAAAGAAAAAAGAAAAAAGATACTTATGCTTGTTAAAAAATAATAAAAAAAATCTTTGGTTGTAACCAGTAATTAATAAGTATAACACTTTTTTTTTTTTTAAATGAAATGATACTTTCAAATAAATAATATTGAAATAAAAAAAAGTGTTTGACTTTAATGCTATTGTAATTCTAGGATACAAAGAACAAACTGTTTATATTTTAAGTATACGTATATTTTTTTTTCTTTTCTTAATGTAGCATTTTTTAAACATTTGTATATTGTTTGAATGTTAATTGGCTTATTATTTGTACAAATCAAACATTATTTTTTTAATAAAACCACATTGTTTATAATAATAAATACAGGTTATATATAGGTTATATATTTTTTTCTTTCACTTCTAATGATATATATATATATATATATATATATGTATATGTATGTATGTATGTATATGTATGTATGTATATGTATGTATGTATATGTATGTATGTATGTATGTATGTATGTGTGTGTGTGTGTGTGTGTGTGTGTATGTGTGTGAGATACTATTATCTCTTTCAAAGTTTAAAATCCTTGAAAAAAATATTTCTTGTCACATTGGTGTATGAGGAGCCTATGGAAATAAATATACAATAATTATAATATCTATGTAAAATAGTTTATTTTTTATATTTATAGTTGTATATATTAGTGAATTATTATTGATGAATAAAAATTACCAATCCTTGAATGCTTTTAAAGTTAAGACACAAAATTATTTTATATATATATATATATAGTAAAATACTAAATAGAATGTATTATCGTATTTATTATTATATTAAATTATTTTTTACATTAACATATCTTTAAAAAATTATTTATAAAAATTTATAGCTTATATTAAAACAAATAAGATATGTGTATAAATAAGTATAGTTATATTTGATTTTTGCAGAAATCTATCAATATTATTTCTTTAAATAATAAATTTTATTAGTACATTTTTTATGTTTATTTTTTTTTATTAATTTAAAAACCTTTTTGTGATATTTATCAAAGAAATTCATACTCAAATATTTTTTTCATAGAAAATCTAAATATTCACTAAAATAACACAAGATAAAAAATTTTAAAACATGATGCTAAGTTGGTAGTTAAAATGAATGTACGTATATATATATATATATATATATATATATAAATTAAATTTTCAGAATATCATAATGATAAAAATAAAATATATTAATAAATTGATAACAAAAGTATTCATATTTTTATTTCTTTCCATAGTTACTTAAAGATAAAAGCTATATTCTGAAACTAAAATATTCCATCAAATAAATAAACCAAATTTTATTTGCTGCTGATTAAAAATACTCTATACATAAATTTACATTTAATATACA